CACCCAAAAGGCTGGGGGGGGAATGGAATCCGGGGGCGTGTGAGACGTGAGCTCAACACGGGAGTAAGCAGCACTGTCCGGGTCAGCAGCTGCAGCTCCGTGCGGTAGGAAAGCGTCCCCGGCTGGCTGCCCTGGCTAAAGAGCATCTAATCACCTTTTCGCTCAGCCTCGAGGGAGAGGAGAGGGAGGTTTAGTGGTGAGAGTGGGAGATTAAGAACGGCCAGACGGGGTCAGACCCAGTGCCCTGTCTGCCAACAGTGGCCAATGCCAGGTGCCCCAGAGGGAGGGAACAGAACCGGGAATCACCAAGTGATCCCTCCCCCATCACCCACCTCCAGACAAACAGAGACCAGGGACCATTCCCACCCATCCAACTAATAGACATTAATAGACGTAACCTCCATGGATCGATCTAGCTCTTTTTCGAACCCCGGTAAAGTCCTGACCCTCACCACATCCTGTGGCGAGGAGTTCCACAGGTTGGCTTTGCACTGAGTGAAGAAAAACTTCCTTTGGTTTCTTTTCAACCTGCTGCTTATTCATTTCATTGGGTGCCCCCTAGGTCTTATATTGCAGGAATAAGTAAATAACTTTTCCTTATTCACTTGTTCCACACCAGTCAGGATTTTATCCTGACATCCCCCCTTCGTCTCCTCTTTTCTAAGCAGAAAAGTCCCCGTCTTTTTAATCTCTCTTCCTATGGGACCCGTTCCAAACCCCTCATCATTTTTGTTGCCCTTTTCGGAACCTTTTCCCATGCCAAGAGATCTTTTCGGAGAGGAGGCGACCAGCAGCCCGCAGCATTCAAGATGTGGGCGTCCCATGGTTTTATGGAGAGGTATTTTCTGTTTGATCTCTAAGATTTTTTAACGATTCCCCATGTTCTGTTTGCTTTGCAATAAATCTCCAGGCATTGCCTCCAGCCGAGGAATTCAGGGACTGGCGCCGTTCCCAGATGCAACTGAGGCGGCCTCTCCAATATTCGAAATGTCCGGCTGTGGAGGGGTGCAGGGTTGCGGGAGTGGGGTTGGTCCCCAGATATTAGCGAGAGCAGGTGGGTGGAGGATACCACCCCCGTACCAGACAGTACCTGGCCCACCTGGCCTCGTTCGTGACTAGACGGTAATGTACCGGTGTCGGCTGGGCGCCCACATTTCCCCGTCACCTGCGAGGGCAGCATCCGGGAAGGACTCTGGCAGATGTGCCGAGGCAGGTCCGAGGGGACGGGTCAGAGCTCCGCCACTTCTCTGGTGTGGGAGAGTCAATGCCTGGACACACACCTGGGCCACGCTCAGGTGCTCCCAAGCGTGAGCTTCCAGCGCCCCCTTGTGGCCAGGTGTGCTCAGTGCAAGGAGGCCAAAGCAGGCTCCGAGGCCTGGATGCAGGGTTTGCTGTGATCCTGGCGCTCTGTGGACCCCGCGCTCGGGGAAGAAGGGAAACCAGAGTCCCCTCGTGCCCATCCGAATGCAGGAGAGGATAGCCTCATACCCTTC